TCCCCAATTAACTTGAAGCGCAGGCTTTCTCCCCAGCTCTCCAGCCCTCCAAAACACTATCAGCTCTGGGCCCAATGTCCTTGGGTTCCCACGATTAAGTTATTATTGTTATGACTAGCTGGACTCTCATCCCAATTCCCCCACCCAGCATCAACTAATTCTAAAAGCAATGGAGAAAATGGCTGCATTTCCATCTGTTGCCAAAGCAAGAACATCCGATGTTAGCAGGGTTGACGCTATAATTGGCTGGCCTTGCATAATACTCTAAGTCACAGACCATAATTAACAAATCACAGTTGCTAGGTTCACATATCATCCTAAATCAAAAGCAAACCACATCATGGCTTAGCATATATGGCTTTCTGCCCACCTGCTTCAATTTTGAAAGGTCCATTTAAATGTGTTTGGCTCTGTGGCTAAATGAGTCATGCAGAGGCTTTCTGGAATTTTGACTATGTTGAGCAATTTTGGGGGCAAAATTAAAATTTATGTTGAGACTTGCTACATACTCTTTAAGACAGATGCCTGAAGGCCATAACAATCCTGGCAAATACCAGCACAGAAGAGCTTTCTGCTGACAGCTTTAGGACATCTCTTGTCCCTAGGCAGAAGTGAGCCCTCCTCTGTTTAGTAGCACTTCTAAATAACTAGTAGCAGGACAATCTCACAAACAAAGCATTGGCTTTGGGTGTATGAAACCTGTAAAACTGTAACTTGAAGCAATCTTGTCGCTTAAATCTAAGATTCCTAAGGAAATGGAGGGAGGGGAGGGTTTCCTATCTATTCATTCATCAGTCTCACTGCAAAGAAGAGCCTTGAATGGATCCTGTTTGTGGAATTTTAGGAAGCACAGCAACCAACTTTGTCTCAGCAACCTTTGTCTGGACTAGGAATCTGCACCTTAGACATTGAATGTTGCCATCTGTTGACTTGCCTATGACAAAATAGGCATTGCACAATCCCACTTCCTAGGAATGGCTGCAATCGACTAGATAGAACATGTTCCTTCCCAAGTACATTTGCAACTCTTGCTCGCTTCAAGTGAAAATTCTGCAGTTGCCCATAGCAACCCAAAAGGCCTATGTGGCTCTTCCCACAGAAAGGCTGATAATTGCAAATCATTCTTCATGAAAGAGGAAAGTGCTTTGCTGTTCCCGCAAAGGGAGCAATCAGAAATTAAAACTGAAGCTTTAACATGCGATGTATCACCAGACAAGCTTGTTGCCTTCTCTCCTATGTGGAGGAGGAAAGACAAAAGGGCCGTGAAAGATCCTTGAACACCCAGGCAGGTTCTGGCCTGCAACCTCTGCATTCTGGCAGGAAATAAGGAGGGAAAGAGGGGCTCGGGATTCAATGCCACCCCCCCTTTCCTCCTGCACGCTGTTGCTTGCATTTGGCAAATACTGTATGTGTACATGTCAGAAGAAAGAGCAATATGTTTTTCCAGGAAGTGCAAAGGAAGAGTGGTATTTTCCTTGGGGGAGATGAAGAAAAGGGCTTTGGCCTACCATATGCACTTCTTTTTGGACCATCATGTTGGTTGCCACAGAGAAATAGTTAACCAATGATCTGTTTGCTAGATTGCAACTAAGGTGAACACCTGTCAAGGGGGAAAGGTCAACATCACAGGGATGCTGGTGGGAAAAGTAATTCCTGGGACCCAGGACAGGAGCTGTATTGCCCCGATCCAGCTAGGAGCCAACGGCTTCCCAATGGGTTTAATCCTCCTCCCGTATGCAGCTTGGTGGATGAGGGGAGCCATAGGACAAGAAGTTAAGGGAAGATTATCTGGGGTGGTATTTTTCAAATACGTTGGTCTCAAATACCCCTTCCCTTTTTGTTCTGGTGCCTTCAAGTTGGTGTTGACTCCTGGCAACTGCCTGAATTAGACCTGGCAGTTTTCTTGGCAAGATTTTGGAAGTGGTTTGCCATTGTCTGTTTCCTAGGGCTGATAGAGAGTGACTGGCCTAGGATCCCCTAACTGGTTTTGTGCTATAAGGTGGGACTGGGACTTTTGGTCTCCTGATTTCTCGCCTGGTGCTTTAACCACTAGGAATCTTTTGCATTCTTGAAAATGATTGAAGACCCCAAAGAGCTTTGGTTTATGTTGATTGTATCTATCAATATTTACTCTATTAGAAATCAAAACTGAGAAATTTTAAAATATTTATTTTTTTAACAGCGTCTGCATTTTGAGAAGCACTGAAAATTGAAAATTCTTTTAAATGGGTTTATAGTTTCAATGTAGCCCAGCAGTGAACATGTACATTGCATAAAGTTGGGTTGGGTTGGGTTTGGAATAGGCATAACTTGGTTGGTTGTATGAACTCAACCCTCTTGGCTCATAAATCATGATTTATGCTTTAATACTCTCATAGTTCAGCTAATACTCCAGAAGACCGCAAAGACATCAGGATCAAGATTATTGTGGTGGGATGGAAAACTTTAACCTGAACTTTAAATTTAGTCACGATCAATGCATGGTTGCCTATTTCTTTTTAAAAGTCAGAATTCAATATTCAAGGTTATACAATTGGAAATGCTTAGCTTGGGACAGCAGCTGAACATGAGTCATGAACTAAACATCTGATACGATCTTTAAATAGGCTAAGTTTTAAAAAGCTATTATGAGCTTGATCTGTCGATAAAAATGCCCAAACCAGTCTGAAGATGTGGCTCATAATCCTAATACACAGTACTGGAATTTAAAGCCACCCGGCTCTAAAAAAGAGTCCGTATAACTTACAATATTTAAAAAGCAAACATGACTATCCAGTCAAAACTATCAATAAAACTGTAAAAAAGCAGAGTCAGCGAGGGCTGCCCAGGGAACAGAGCTGGCTCTTAAAGAAACTTCCCTCTGAAGGGTGAAAACCACCCATCTCTTTATCTCTCTCCCTCTCTCTCAGTGGCAGGGGTGTGACAGGGGTGCATGCAAACTTCACTATCTTGCTCTTTCAGATGTTTAACCAGGCTGCCAGATCACCCAGGGCTAATTTAGCCATTTGGGTCTGGTGGTTAGAAGACACACGCTGAATTCTAAAGAAATCACAAATTGAGATTGCACAACATCCTACACTAAAAGATAAATTGTTCACAGTGTCAGGTGAGTGCAGTCCCAAGGGAAGCAGAGTTCTGCATATTAGGGGGGGGG